AGGAGTGGCTTGGAGCACAGGGTTTGGGTGCCTGTGAGCCTTAGGCTGATGCATGGCATCCTAGCCTGTAAAAAAAAAAAAAAATGGAGCTCATAGAGGTAGTGAATAGAGTGGTAGTTACCAGGGGCCGTGGGGCGGGAGGAAGGAGGGGTTGGTTAATGGGTACAAAAATACAGTTATGTAGGAGTAAGATCTAGTGTTTGATAGCATAATAGGGTAACTATAGTTAACAATAATTTGTTGTATATTTCAGAATAGTTAGAAGAGAAGGTTTGGAATATTTAAAATACAAAGAAATGGTAAATGTTTTGAGGTGAGGAATATTTCAGTTACCCAGATTTGTTCATTATATATTATATGCTTATGTCAAAATATCACATGAACTACATAAACATGTACAGCTATTATGTGTCCATGAAAATTAAAAATAAACATTAAACTTTATTAAGTGTCATTGAAGAGGACCTAAATAAATGAAGAGATGTATCATATTCATGGATAAGTAAACAATATCATAAAAATTTCAGTCATCTCCAAACTGATCTGTAGCATCAATTCTATGCCAATCAAATCTCCAGTGGCCTTTTTTTCTTTAAATGAAACTTGACTTTATAGAAGGGAAACATTCAAGAATGACTGAAGAAAAATACGCAGGGTAGATTTGCATTACCCAATTAATCAACATTGACAGTGTAATATTTGTACAAACAGACTGATGAACAGAATATAGCCCTTAAACCCATATGTATGTAGAAACTTGTTAGGACAAATGTAGCATTGTGGGTTGTAACTGTTAATTGGAAGGAATATTAAAGGCTTACATTTAAAAGATAAAATTTGGTACTTTTAGAATAAAAAATATATGCCTCTAGGGATAAAGAAGGATTTTTTAAAACAGAAGATAAAAAACGTTAACTAGTAAATACACATACATATTATAACCTAGGAATTCCATTATTTGATATGTACATTTAAATTTCATTATATACATAGAAACATTGTATTAGCAATTTATGTTATATTCATCAATTAAAAGAGAACGATACAACTTTTATAAAGATCAAAACAGAGCTAAACCATATATTATTTAGAGATTTAGAAGGGGTTTTAAAAAAGTCATCGAGTTCAACTTATACATAGAGACCAGTCTCTAAATTAACAGCTTTATTTGGGAATCACAGAATTGCAATTTGGGGCATACACACAAACCTGGATGGTCTTCGATATGTCTAAAGAGCAAAGAGGTGGTTGGGAGATTTATTAGGAAGAGAAATGTTATGTATTGTTTTGAAAGAAAATTCATTGGCACTAGTAAAGCTTTTGGGAGCTGTCAGGCTGTGATTGGTGAGTGACAGTGGTAGACAAAACTAGCCTTAGGGCCATAGCAGGTTGTTTCAGCAGTTACTAAGTAAGATTGGTCTTAGGGTTACAGCAGCTGGGCTTGTGGAAAATTTAGTTTTGGGAACTGGTGTTATAGTCCTGAGTGTGTTTTCCTCCTGGCCCTTGTCTGATTTAAATGGGTATGATAAGAATGACCCAGTTCTTATAATCAATTTTCACAAAGTCAAAATAATAAAGAATGTGAAATTCATGCCTGTAAATACATCTGGGATGTAGTAAGTGATATGTGATTGGGTAGTGGTAAACCATCAATTTTGAGAAAGGAGTAGAAGCTATCTATCTATCTGTTCTCTTCTGTGTATGAACTATTTCATCAATGGAGAAAAATTTTCAGATAGACAACAAAATGGAGCCAGATCATGGAATTCTCCCTCTCCTGCCTAAATGAATAATAACAACAAAAATAGTGAAGACCAGCAAAATTCATCAATAAAAGATAGAAAGATGTAACTTCATGTCATAAACATGTAGTAGCCAGAAAAAAAAAAAAGAAACAGAAGATTTCTGGAAGGGTACTTAAGTCTGCTTCTCACCCTGTACTGAATCCTTACTGGGAAAAGAAAATGAGTGAACAAATTCCTGGTATTTCCTATCACTCTTGTGAAGGAGACCAGTGCCTTGGATATCAATTATGAAATTATCTACATCTCCAGCAGAATTCTCACCTTTTATACTCCTTAAATACATAGGCTTCAGAGGATCAGATAATATGTTAGTACTCCACATCTCAAATTATATCCAAGAGGGGAGGAACACACACTCACATACGTGTACACACATGCACACACACAGTAGGAAGGAACTCAAGGAGAATTCAACTAAGTTCAGGTCAGAGATGACCCTGTTAAATGTGAGTGTGATACATAACATGTAAAAAACGGATAAAGAACTCAGTTTCAAATTTTAAAAACAGTCAAAGAAAAAAGTCACCATGAGGAATTCATGCTATAATAGAAATTGAATTCAGGCTGGGTGCGGTGGCTTCCTATAACTCAAGCACTTTGGGAGGCTGAGGCAGGAGAATCGCTTGAGGCCAGGAGTTCGAGACCAGCCTGAGCAAGAGCAAGACTCTGTCTCTACAAAAAATAGAAAAATTTGCTGGGTATGGTGGCATGTGTCTGTAGTCTCAGATGCTTGGGAGGCTGAGGCAGGAGGATCGCTTGAGCCCAAGAGTTTGAGGTTGCTGTGAGCTATGATGAGGCTACCATCTAGCTCAGGAAACAGAGTGAGACCCTGTCTCAAAAAAAAAACAAAAAAAAAAGAAATTGAATTCAATAAAATCAGGACTCAAAAACAAAAACAATAAAATGACTGAAAAAGATTGTAGAGCTAAAGAAACAAATTGAGACCTAACATAGTATATTTCTGTTGGTAATAAAATGAAAAACAATAAAGAACTGTCTGTACATAGTTAAAAACTGAATTACTGACATGGAATAAAAGTGGGAGATACTCAGTAAAAATGAAAAGCATAAAGAGATTTAAAAGATAATAAATTTGTAAAAAAAGATAACCTAACATTGGTATTTCTGAAGTAGAAGACCTAACATATAGGAATTACTTAAAAGAAACAAGAAGAAACAGAACTGCAAATTCCATTGTTAACAAAATTAAGAAGTACCTGATATTTCATATCACTAAAAAGGAAGAAAAGTTGGCATAAACAATAAAGATCAGAGAGAGGTTTGGTAAACTGAAGAGAGGATGTTTGTGGTTGCAGATTTAAAAAATACAAAGCCAGTAGAGCACAATTCCCTAAATTAAGTGGTACATCTTGAAGTACAAAACCAGAATTTCATTAGCAACATGAGAACAGGATCACAGGCTAATGGTGAATTCTTTGGACTCCACTAGACATAATGTGTTGAGAAAATAGAAAAACAGTATTGAGTGAAGAATCTCACAGACAAGCTATATTTGTGCCTCCAAACTTTGATGAAGAAGAGGAATGAATGACAGATTCACTATTATGAGCAGTGTTGCATTGCCAATCTCAGTAGGCTGGGAAGAAGCAAAGGCTAAAAAAACATATTTTTATCTGGACCCTACCTGGTCTTTGATGTCAAAACTTTCTTATGAAAGTTCAAGAAAGTGGTTCAAGAAAAATAGTACTGATTTATCAAAAAAGAACAGGTACAGAATTTACACAAAGATATTATCTGAAAAGAAGGAAAGGAATATGAAAAATAAATAGTGGACAAAAAAATAATACTTAACAGAAAACAGGAATTGAAAATCCTGACCAAGCATCACCATGAGAGAAAACACAATAAAGCCCTCATCTCTGTAAAACAAGCGTGTAAATAGAGATTCAAGTGCTCAGAGACAATACAATGTGATATCAGTAACAAGGTGTAAGAAAAGGTAACGCTACCACCAAAATGAAGGACAAAATGGAAGCAATACAAAGTGTTGACAATATAGTAAGAGACTTAGAAGACAAAATTGAGAAAAGCTAATAAATGTATGGAAATAAGAGATAGGTAAGAGAAAGGAAAGAGATGGAAGAAAGGCACAGAGAATTCAATGTTATACATAATTTTAGATGCAGTGTACTGATTTTCTTATCTTTTAAAACATCATTTAGAACTGTCTGAAATTGATTTGTGGAATTATCCAGATTGAGATTATTATACTTAGTGTTGGTTGCAAACATGAAAGAACACAGGGAATATAGATAGTATCCCTGAGCCTATTCTTAAAACTAATTGGTGACAAAATCTAGCCAAATGAAAAATTATGGGAAACCTTGTGGTAAAAGGATTAGTGTTGTGCTGAATTCCAGAAAAGTGAAGTTTATATAAGTCCTCTGTAAAAGAAAGTTTTCCCAAATCATTTTTGGATATCCATTAAATGTAAAGACAACATTCCAAACAAATAATACAAGGAATATAGCACCTTTGTGCCAACTCCCTTTCAAAAAGGACTTACAAAATCCAACCAATCTAGAGATGAGTCAAAATAAATCCCTGTGAAAGTCTCTAGCCTTTTAATATATTTCATGATTCCCTCCCACCCCTCCAACCTCAGGGAGATCTTTTAGGAATTGGATTCTAGAAACTTAGAGATTATCTATTGTGGGACCATATTTAAAGTTCAGCAATTTGTTTTGCATCATTTATTTTCTAATCTATTAAATTGATATTAATGTAATACTTTTAAAAATGCAAATGTCATGTTATGATTCTATTTCTATAAAATTATTTCTGTTTTTATATTTGAAATATGTACATATTGAATATGTTTAAAATGATATTTATCACTGAGGTTTCTGATGGCTATTTCTGGATAGTAGAATGTTGGGATTTAAAATGATTTATGTCTAGGCTCTTTTCTTTGTATTGTTTTTACTATTGCTTGATTTTTAAGTAATGATCACATATTATTTTATAAAATTAGTGAGTCATTTTAAAAATAGAAAGCTTTTCTGACTACCACACACAAAAAAGTCTGACACTGGTCCTGATAGTCCCCCCCCCCCCCAAAAGGGAGTGAATTTAGGTTCTGAATGAGGAAAAAGCACAAAGCCTAGATTAATATCAAGCCTTGAGGACATTTATTTCTGTTAATTGAATTCTTAATTTTATTTTTTTGCTTAGGTCATGCATATTCGGAAACTACTTAGGAAAATGGATCGTCCAAATGGTCTTTATCCAAATTATTTGAATCCAAGAACAGGGCGCTGGGGTCAGTGTAAGTATTTCTAGTATCACTGATGCTTTGTTAAATGGTTATTTAACTGAAAATTCCATGCTTGATGGAGTGGACAGTATACTGAAATCCTCGGTTAGTGTCTGACCTTTTGATCTACTGGTGCTGTTACCTTTGACACATTTCTAATCTCTGTAGCTTTAGTTTTCCTACTTGTATTAATAAAATGGAAACATCCCTGTTCCCAAGAGTGTTTTATTTCATGTATTTAAGTACTTTGCTAAAATACAGCGTGTCAGTTTGAAAGGTTATACTTTAAACTCTCAGTAAAAAATATCTTCATGTAAATAAGAGCACTGCTTAGGAGGGGTATTTATAGGAGTATGAAAGCAGATGAATATAGGAAATGACTAGAAGGCGGGCAGTTGCTCATGGACAAGATATGTCTAGTCATTCATTTTAGAAGAAGGTATCGCAGCGTCCATTATTTATTTACCAGGCTCTATGCGAAGTTCTTGGATTAGGCTGGAAATGGGGAAGGAACACGTAGGGTTTGGCCTGAATTCAGGGAGCAAACAGGCTAGCAAGGTAGGCAGATACGCTTAAAAGTACTTGGAATAAAATGTGATAAATGTTGTACATAGTAGGAGAAAGTACCAATTGTTAGATGAAACTGTGGTGGAAGTGATTCCCTCTGCCTGAGGTGAAAGTGTTGTCTTTTTTGTGGAAGGAGTAATTTTTCTTATTAGAGCTTTAAAATTTATCTTTGAATGAATTAATTTTTAAAAATAATAATAAATGTTCATAAGGAAATGTTGAACTTACAGGATTTTAGTAATTATGGGTTTATAAATGCTATTCTCTTCTAAAAGTAGGAAAACTAGAATAAATAATAGAAGTTGCAGTTTTGTTCCTAATAAAACAGATTGGGTTATTTTTGAGACTAATGAAATCATAATGAATTAGTAAATAAGAGGCAAAAGTAACAGTCGTTTAATTTTATGTACCGAAAACCCTGCTGTATCTGCCAGTGAGAAAATATGTTGGTGTGAGTACAAAGAGTAGGAAAAATGTTTGCCACAAATTGTCGTTTATACTCCTTTCCAGGAAATTATCCTCTATTTTATGAAAGGAAAGTAGATTGGTTAATATAGTGGTGTCTTTCATGGATCTGGAATATGATCTCAATCTTTTGGTTCTTCTTACTGTTCCTCTTTCCTGAAATTCTTTATGTGTAGCTCATTTTTCTCTTTATTTTGAAGAAAATCTAAGATCTAATGCCTAGACTGACTGCAAATGATATATTCTGAAAAAACAAAATCTGGAGAGCTGCATTTCTAAAATAAAAATGCAGTTTTCTTATTCCAGATAAGGGTAACTAGATTGGATGTCTATTTAGTAATTTGAGTACACAAATACCCCTTGGATTTGTATTAAGATTTGGGAATGTTATGATAATAATGATATATAATAATGATAATCATAAAGATTTGGAAATGTTATAATAATGATATAATATTATAATACATTAAAGTTATGTTCAGTTTCTGCCTTATGTTATATGCCAGTATATGGTATAACTATTTAAATGTAAAAGAAGAAGTTATAAAAGTACTAAAAAATTGTTGAATATATAATCAGGAAAGCCTTTTCTAAGTATGTCACTTAAAGCAGAAACCATAAAGAAAAAGGTATCAGTTAATATTATATATAAATGTTAACCTCCTCCATTTCATAGCAATTAAAATGCAAGCTACAAATGTAGGAAACATATTACAGAGTTTTCATATCCTTTTATATCAAGACCTCTATAAGATCATAAGAAAAAATGGTCACCCAGTGGAAAAATGGGCTAAGTAAAGTTAGTTCATGAAAAAACAAAACAAAAATGGGGAAAAAAAACAAATGGATGTTCATGTTTATCCCTAAAAGTGCTATTAATGAAGATAACTTCATTATCTTGGAGATAGTATAATGTGACATCTCTTTCTACATAGACCAGGGGTAGGGAACCTTTTCATGTTGGAAGGCCGCATTCATTTAGCTGTAATCAAATAAGGCCACATTCAAGAAACTTCAAATAGATATACTTAAAAATGCATAATATTTTGTAAAAATCTAAATACTGTGTACTTCATAGTTTTCAAAAAATGAAAATTATTTGTCAGTTTTAAAGTTAACTAACCTTTTAATGATTTTGTTGTATCTGGTTTTTGTTGGAAACATTTGAATGTTTGGTTGCAGCATGGAGGTCCACAATTTAAGCTGATCCTTTAAATGGGTATGGGTCATTTGTGACCTTAAGAGCATCTTGATTTGGGTTAGGTAGGAGAATATAGAGTTGCAGCAATAAGTGGTTGAAAAGCAAGAAAGTATTTTTTCGGGCATGTTGTCAAAGGTGTGGGTATTCTGCATTTTCTGTATTTCAAGTGGATCTTTCTTAGCATCAGGCTTTAAAATATCATTACTGAGAACTCAGTTCCTAGTTCTTTGGATGCCTTGGTGATACCAACTAGGTGAGGCTGAAATGCTAATTGAGTGTAATATCATAGATTCTGAAAGTCAGTGAATCTTTCGTTGTATTCTCCAATTAATAGGTCTATAACAGCTGCATATTCTTCACATGATTTCTATATATCATCCTAATCAGTGACCTCTGCTAACTGGGGAAGATGTTCATCTGAAATTTCCTTTTGAAGAATAATTGTTCTGAAAAAAGATAGCATTTTTTGAAATGCTTGTATTTTTTGCCATGTATCATATATAATCTTAGTTTTACCTTGCAAAGAAATATTCAAGTTGTTTTGGTTTGACATGATATCATATGGAAATGCTGTATCCGTATAGAAATCTTCTTTCAATAATTCACATTGCTGATTCTGCTCTTCATAAAATTTAACTGTCTTAGAGATAAAATTTTATCCAACACCTATCTCTGCAATAGCCAACACACTTTAGATTGATAATGCAAATCCACACTGAATACCTCATCTTTCAACTTTAGCATGTTGCAAAACCGATGATGCCATTGCATTTGCAAGAATATAGTTAACACTACTTACAACTTATTGCACAGTGTCACTTAAAATATTAATAGTAGCTTTAGCACAGAGACTTTGCTGATGCAAGATACAATGAAAAGAAAGGAGACATCTGGATCTGCCAATATTCTTTTTAATCTGGGCAATGAATCTTTTGTGTTTTCCTGTCATAGAAGGTACACCACCTGTACATATGCTCACTAAATTTACCAAATTCAGTCCAACTTCACAACATTTATCTTGAAAGTTGTTAAAGATACCTATTCCCTGTGTTGTTTGTAAGAGTGCCCAAAGCGATTAATTTTTCATATCAAAGAAAATCTTCCATTATGACTCAAATGAAGTATAAAACCTACACGAGTCAGTAGTATCAGTGGATTCATCCAAAGTGATTAAACAATATGTATTTTCCATTTGCATGAACAACTTATTGCATGTAGTTGTTCTGTTAAGTTGAAGCTAATTCATGCTGCCAATCAGTTATGATGATTTTTGAAAAAGGCATTCGTTTGTGCTTGGAAACATTATCAGGGTCTAAGCATCCTACAACTTCAACACATTCTTTCACAATTTCTACATCACTGAATGGCTTCTTCCTTTTCCCTGAATATATAAGCTATTAATACTTTATAAGTTGCTTCGATGGCATTATTTCCAGGTCTTATTGCTGCTTGAAAGAATTGTCATTGCTTTGGCTTTTCATCTTTTAATTTCTGTGGTTCACCTTTCATGCCACTCCTTCTAAATTAAAATATTTGTGGTCCTTGTGAGTGTTATAATGCTGATGATGGTGGCCCCTGTCTGTAATCCTAGCACTCTGGGAGGCCGAAGTGGGAGGATTGCTCAAGGTCAGGAGTTCGAGACCAGCCTGAGCAAGAGTGAGACCCCATCTCTACTAAAAATAGAAATAAATTAATTGGCTAACTAAAAATATATAGAAAAAATTAGCCAGGTATGGTGGCGCATGCCTGTAGTCCCAGCTACTTGGGAGGCTGAGACAGAAGGAGTGCTTGAGCCCAGGAGTTTGAGGTTGCTGTGAGCTAGGCTGATGCCATGGCACTCTAGCCTGTGCAACAGAGTGAGACACTGTCTCAAAAAAAAAAAAAAAAAAGTAGTGATGAACATCAAATTTCTTTAATGTTGATATTGCAGTATCACAAAGCATACTTGACCCCCAAGTCCCTATTATAAGATGTTTAAATACTGCACTGTCCAATGTGGCAGGGACTAGCCACAAGTAGCTATTTAAATTTAAATTAATTGAAAGTAAATAAAATTTAAAATGTAATTTCATAGTCATACCAGCAACATTTCAAGTGTTTAATAATCACATGTGGCTACTATACTGGACAATACAGATAACGAACACTTTCTTCATCACAGAAAGTTCTGTTGGACAGGACTGCTTTAGAATGTTTCTAAATTATCTCTATTACAAATAACTATAAAGTTACTGTAAATAAATTTTAATATATAGATCTGAAAATTTCCTTGAAATAAATTGCTGGAAATGAGTTGCTAGTTCAAAGAGCATACAAATATTCATACTCTTTGACATACTGGGTACAGGGAAATTGTCGATTTCCTTTGTCAATTTAGATGTACCCCTGAAGCAAGCACATTTTTGTCAACATAACAGTCAAAGAATAGCGTCTCAGTTTAAAAATTGCATTGATTTCATCATGTGTATGGGGAAGTGGGAAAGAGAGAGACAAAGTTTCTGGTGACCAGTCTATGGAGATACTAGAAACATATTAGTCTTTGTAAATACTAGTTTAGTAGAAGCAGTCTGTTCTAAGGATGGGGAACTTACAGCCTTAAGGCTATATGTGGCCTTCTATGTCCTTAAGTGTAGCCTTTTGACTGAATCTAAATCTCACAGAACAAATCTTTTTCTTTTTATTAATACATTTTTGTTCATGGCTGAGGGACATGATATGGTATACTATACAGCCATTAAAAGTTACGTTATAGGCCGAGCGCGGTGGCTCACGCCTGTAA